GTGGCAAAACTTCCCTCTCGCGGAGTCAGCGTGCTGGGCGCTCTGCGTGCTTGCGTCGTGGCGGGCACTGCGGCGGCGCCTCTCCTCCTCCTGCTTGCGGGTGGGCAGCCGCCTGGTGTGCTCTGCTCCTTCTCGCCTGAGCGCATTGCGGCATAAAATGTCACCGTAACGAGGCGGTGTCATTTCCCCACCATGAGTGGGTGGTGCCTGCGCCTGGATGCATGCACACAGTGAGATGTGCGAACGACGAGTGCAATGCGAGCAGCAGCAGCATCGCAGTCGTTTTGTGCCCTGCACTTTGCACACACGCGCCCCCTTCTGCGGGGAGGGGTGAGCTTCGTCGTGGGCACGTGGCCGGGGCCGCACGCTGTGGTGCCAGGGGCACTCATTTGTCTGCGCCGGCTGGGGGGCGACGGGCGGAGTGGCGAGGCCGCCGCCCGTGCAGTGCGGCTGCCCTGCCCCGCATCGTATGCGAGATGCGATGGCCCTTGCTCTTTCTCTTTCTCTCTTGCTGAATGTGGCTGAGTGGGGCTCGTGTGTGACTATTTCCTTTGTCTCTCCCCCTCTCATTCTCCTTTTGGCTGGTGGTTGGTCTTCGGCCGCAGCTCAAGCCAACAGCCACTACAAGTAAAGAAGTAAAAAGATCAAGCCAAGAATGCCTCCAAAGCGAAAGAGGGCGGTTTCTGGGAAGAAGGAGAGCCATGTAACTAATGCGCCGCAGGGACGGCATCGGGCGAGGGCGGGGCCCGGCGGCGACTCGGAGAAGCAACCCGCGGCGCGGCGCCGAAGGCTGGAGGAGGCGCCGCAGCCGGAGGAGGAGGAGGAAAGGGCCAGGCTGCCGTTGCCGGAGGGCTTCTACGACTCCGTGTTCAACGCGAGGTGGAGCCACGTCTTGGGGTTTCCCGAGGCCAATAAGTACGATGAGGAGGTGGTGCGGATGGAGGTGAAGGAGGGACAAGCGCCAACGAAGTCGTGGAAGTACAAGTCTCGGGGCTTGAGTTTTGAACTGGATGGCGCCGTGAAGCAATTCCGCCCGCCGCGCCCCAGGATGATGGTGCTCTCCTCCGAGAAGGGCTGGCCGTACTCGCTGCGGGAGGGCACAGCCCTTGCCGACTGCTACGTCACCGCCGAGGCGGAGCGGGTGTGGAAGCGCCTCGATGTCTTTCTGTCCATGCTGTTCGACCCTTACACGGGAGGAGACTCTGACGTGAAACGAGTTTTGTTGCTTGGGACGCCCGGGATGGGGCAGTCGATGACTGTTGGCCCCTACCTCCTCTACCAGCTGTTGCACTACGACGCCGAGCAATTCCAGGTGGCTGTCTACTGCCTTGGAGGAAAGCTGGCGTACGTGTTTGACAAGACCACGCAAACGGCGACGGAGCACGAGGGTGCGGGCGGTATTGCCGATGCTATTAACGACTTGGCCCGGCGCGGAAAAAAGGGTATATTGTCTACGATGTGTCGGAGGAAGGAGCACCGCGGTCGTCAGGACTACCGTCTGCTGGGTGGGGCATGATTTTGCTGGGATCCCTAGAAAGATATAACTACAAGGCACTGGCGATGCGGCTGCACACTGGCCTCACCGTCATGAACTGCCCCGACGAGAAAGAGGTGAAGGCGATGTGTGCCTGGAGGACGCGTGGCCGCCCCGCGCAGGAGCAAAAGAAGTACTGGGAGACTGTCGGCAGACGCATGTCTCAGGTGGGGCCGCTGCCACGTTACATCTTCACTGAGGCGGATTTCAATGGGCGCACTGCGGCGGTTAGCAGAGCGCTGCAGGCGATTACCCCCTCGGTTGGCAGAGACTACCTTGATCAGAAACACGAGTCCATGTGGTTTCCGGGAAATCCGTTTCAGCAACTCTTGAAGATTGAGCGGGAGAGTAACGAATACGGTATGGAGATGATGCGCTATGCAGATATGTGTCACGGCCTTGACTTTAAGGTGACGCAACGTCTGTTTGCGTCTTAGTCGGCCTCGGCGTAGTTGTTTCTCGGCGGGCGGAGCGT